CTCACAGACAAGCTTCCAGCCTCACAAGGAAGCCCAGACGTTTCAGCACTGTCCCCTGGGTGTCCCCACCTGCAGGTCCCATCAACTTCTCACGTGCATCTGTCCCTAGTTGATCCCCAGCACTTCTGTAGCCCTTGCCTCATATTTCTTATCTCCATGGCCCGACAGCCTCGGGAGCCAGAAATGGGCGTCCCTACACCCTCTGCATTCATCCAGCCCTCTCAGGTCCTGCGTGGAGCCCTCAGAGCAGGGCCAGCAATGGCAACCCTGGCCCTGCTTCCCAACCTACCCACTGTCCCCCCAGCTGGGGCTGAGGCTTCTCCAGGCAAATGACACCAGGTGCTTCCCTTGCTGAAAACCCTCAGGGTCCCCACTGCTCAAAGACGCCATGCCATTACTTTCCTGCCTCCTGTGGCTCTCCAGCCCTACGGGACCACTTCTGCAGCCCCATAGGTGGCTTCTCTGTGATCCCCCCCCCCCCACGCTCCCAGGCACCACCCTCCAGGCGTTCACTTCAGGCAGCTGGGCTTTCTGCTTCCCACCCCCTGTTCTCCCTCCTCTCAGGGGACCTCCACAACCCTGAGCCTGAAGCCTGCCTTCCTCTCCAGTGCTCCCCTCATTTTCGCTCCTCGGAGGACCATTATTCAATCCTGCAGGGTCCTGTTTATGCCTCACTCTTTCTGAGTCTCTGCTGCTCACCCATAGCTCTAACCATGATGATGGGAATTGCTTAATTGTCTGTTGGGCACCCTGGACCACAGGCCTCCTGCTGGCTCAGACTAACAGTGGTGTCTCCCACACTCAACACAAAGCCTAGCACATATACATGCTTAGCAGACACATGTTTACATGTATTTTTTCCAACTGGATTGTGAATGGACGGATGGCCGCACAGACAGGTGTATGAGTGGACACAGGAAAATGATGCTACTTGGGTTGGGTCATGGGGGCTTCAGAAGCTCTTCGGACAGGGCGTTCTGAGGAAGGGCAGATCTGGCCTTGTGCAGGACTGTCGGGTTGGAGGCACAGTGGGAGATAAAGGAGGATGCAGACGGATTACAAGGACCTTGAATGTCACTGTGCAGAGTCTGGACTTAATTCAGTAGGCGATGGGGAGCCATGGAGGGGTTTTAATCAAGCAAGTGACGCGATCCCACCTGTGCTGGAGAACAGATCGCTCTGACTGCAGCAAGGACTGAGGGAGGAGCAGACTGGAGGCCTGGAGGCTGGCGAGGAGGTTGCCACCACAGTGTAGACTGTTCAAAGCCAGGACGCCCCAGTCCGAGTTGGAATCATGGGATGGGCCGAAGGAGAGAAGGCAGAAACTAGGACAAAATGAATCTGAAAATCTAGAATCTTCCTTTGCCCCTGGCTGCTTAGCCAGCCAATTTCCACTAACCCAGAAGCCTAGGAGGAATCTGAGGTCAGAGGGAGCCTGATTCTAGCCCCCAGGTAGCTAAGCAATTGTGCCAAAGCAGGGAGAGTCCATTATCAACAGAGAAGTATTACCATAATGATGATTTGTTTATGGGTATCCCAAGCACCCAGAGCAGTGCTAAGGGAACTGGTTTGTGCATTTTTTTCCCCACAACAACCCAACAGAGAGGTGAAGTAACTTTTCCAAAGCCACACAGCCCCCAAGTCACAAACCCAGGTTGCAGCAACAGAGTCAAACAGCAAGCAGACAGCCAAACAGTAGACTGGCGGGTCTGAAGAGCCCTCAAAGTGACAGCAGGTAAAGGCAGGGCCTGGAGGAAAAGAGCAACTCCAGGCTCTGGAACCTTCTGTGCTCAGACCCAGACCCACAGATTTGGGAAGGTGGAGTCCCCTGCAAGAGACCCTAGCTAAGGAGTAGGTACTGTGCGCATCCTTAGCAGTAATTAAGCAGGAGCTTCTGAGGACGAAGCAGCGGCCTAGGCCCAGGCCCCAAGAGCATCGCGGTCGGAAGCCCTTTTGCAATTTAGAGAAGAGCGTGCCTTCTCCAGGCAGATGCAGTTGCCTTTAGGGCGCCTTACTTGTTGAGTGGAGCTTAAAATAGATTTCAGACCCTCCTCTCCTCCTGAACCGAGTGTCCTCGAGACAGTCAACAACCTGCCCAACCGCACAAGACAGCTACACTTCCGGCCTCCCTGTTCCATACCCCTGCCTCTCCCTCCCATATACATGGACTGGAGCCATTGTGCAAATGTGACTTTCCTGTTTGTCGTCTCCCACTCCCCGAGAGACAAAGTCTGATGACACCCATGGTTCTGATGACAACGTGAAGATCAGAGCCTGTCCTGACTAGGGCAGAAGGCAGAGTGGGGTGGGGATGGCAAGTATCTGGGATGTCTTTAGAGACATCGGGGGAAAAAAAAAAACTCATGGCTCTAGGAAGAAGAGGCCTCCCTGGCAAGCGTTCCATCTCAAGGATGCTCTGAGGAGCCAAAGCTAGTGGAGAGAACCCCCCTGTGTGTGTGTGTGGGGGGGGGCGGGCATTAGGGAAATAAGGTTTTGGTTCCTGATCCTGGACTGAGGTCCTGGTCCCCTCCCAGCCAAATGTGACTGATGCTGCCTGTCCTGACTCACCAGGGAGGGAGGGTACAGTCCTAACTGGAGTCTCAGCCTAGCCTCTCCTCAGGGTCCTCTTCCTCTGTTAGTAGCTCCTACCCCCTCCCAGGCCACCCAGCATGGGTTCAGTTACATAAACAGGAATTATTCCTTCCCACTCCACACACACACCTGAGGCTGCATTTCCAATGGTTTTTCCTGATGGAAGAAAGGGGGAGAAAACTCAGACAAAAGAGGAAATTCAATTGGCCAACTCCTCTATTTGGTGTGGTAAATAAACTATTCCAAACTTTGCTGTGTTGAAGGTCCCTGTCCAAGCTCTAGCCAGTCCCTCACAGGGAGCCACAGAACCCTGCAAATGAGGGTCACAAAGAACCCAGGGGGCAGAGGCTGAAGTCCCGCCTCTGTGCAAATTGTAGACTGTCAGGGAAGCAACCAAGACCATAGCCACCTTAAACACACACACACACACACACACACACACACACACACACACACACACACACGTTACACACATGGACCCAGGGTCACAACAGTTTACCATTTCTGTTTCTCTGTCCAAGTCGTTTAATGGCTTTCTTCCTCTAGGAGCCCAGGGATCTACCTCAAACACCTCACGCTGCATGGAAGTGAGTGTCTTCCTGCTTTGCCCACAGCCTGAGGACAAGAAACTGATCCCTTTTCCCTCAGACTCACCCAACATAGAATTGATGAGTCCTGGATATCAAGGTACCTGGGTCCCCATTCTGCCTCTTGATAGTGCTTGCTTTGTGACCTCGAGCCTGCTTCCGATACTTTAAGCTGGGAAGGAGGGAAGCCCAGGTAAATAGAACCCCTGACATGATGACCCAGAGGCACGTGCCTTAGGCCGAGAGAGACCTAGCTTGCTTGGCAAAGCACCTGCTGAGAGGTACTGGCTCTGGTAATGAAACACAGAGACACTCCCCCTCCTCCCCCTGCCCCATCCCAAGCAGTGACTTTCAGGAGCACTGGAAAAGGCAAGACACCCAGCTGGAGTAGAGGCTGGCTTGGGGAGGAAGGTGTCTCCTGACCTGGCAGAGAGAAACTGAGGCAGGTTGGGTGAAAGGAGGTGGACACACTAAGGATGAGATGGACCAAGTCTCCATATTCCAACAAGAGTCAGAGTGGGCACAGGTGGGCAAGCGTGGGGGATACACCTAGGGACAGAGCACGTAACAGACAGGCTTTCAGGACAGTAGGGAAAGAAGCGGGTGGGAGCGAGCACCCGGTTCCAGCAGCACCCAGCAGAGGCAGTAGCCAAAGGGAGCAAACAAGCCACTGGCCAGGCTGGGCACTCCGGCCCTGGTAAAGCAAGACTGGAACGCACACCCTCTGGCAACGCCGGCGTTCAGGGAGAGTGGGAGAGACAGCAGGGGGTTCCCAGCAGCGCGAGTGTGGGAAGCTTCAGCCACGGCTGGCTTCAGCCGACCGGCGCTCCTGTGCCCGCCAGCAGGGGGTGCCCCTGCGGCTTGGGGAGACCTCGGGGGACTCCGGTTTCTGTCTGCGCTCTGTCCACGGCACCCCACAGGGTAGTCTCCCGCAACTCCCCAGCTGGGGCAGGGACCCGATCAGGTCGCAGCGGGAGTGGTGAGGTCAGGTCCCCAGGCAAAGGCAACATGGGTAGGGACAGTGTCCACCGAGGGTCCCGCAGCCCTCACGGTCACACAGTTCACACCTCCCGGCTTCACACCCCGGGCCTCGAGGGTCAGTCCCGAGTGGCGCTCGCTTTGGACGTGAGCTTGTGAAGCCCGGTCTTTCTCCGTGGCGGGGACAGAGTCCCCGGAGTCGCGTGCGGAGGAAGAGGGCATAGCTGCCCCTCGATCTCCGCACGTCATCCGACGGCCAAGGGGCGCAGGGGTCACGTCGGCAGGGCCGCCAGGGTCCCCATAGCCTGTCCGGCTCACCCCACCCCAGGGTGGCCGCAGCCGCGCGTGTCTCGGCGGCCCGACCCGCACACGCACCCGCGCGGCGCACACGCTCCCGCCGCGCCGATCGCCGAGCCTCCGGGAGGGGCCGCGAGCCCACAAGCCCAGCCCGGTTAGCGCGGGGTGGGCGGCGGGGACGCCGGGGTCCCGGCCGGTTTCTAGACTGGGTTCGCTATCCCCGCACCCCTCCCGGAGCGCCAGCCCTGCACCCCCGGGCGCCGCCACCCCCCCACCCCCCGGCCTGCGGGGCATCCCCGAGCTCTGGGCGCAGGGACCGCGACTCCGGGGCCGGGAGGTGGCCGGGCTGGGCTCCGCGCCGGGGAAAGTTTGGACGTGGGAAAGTCCCCGTCGCCCCGCCGGGGAGGGGGCGCGGGATGGGCGCGCTTGGGCCGTTACCCCGGAGCCCGCGCCGCGCCCGCCTCTCCCCGGCCCGTGCGCCCTCCCGGCCCGCAGCCTCCCCCGGCGGCGATCGGCTGGCCTCCCGCGGGCGCCGCGCGCTCTTACCTCGGGGAGCGGCCGGGCTGCTCCCTGGTCCCCGCGCCTCGGGACGCCAGCGATCCGCGGGATCCCGGCCAGGTCCGGCCCCGGCGTCCGCCTGGAGGAGCCGAGGGAGAGCGGGAGCGAGAGGGGGAGCCGCGGCGGCGAGTGCGCGCGTGTGTGGAGGAGCGAGAGAGCGAGGGAGTGTGCGTGTCTGACTAGGGGGGAAGTGTGCAAGGGACGGATCCCTTCCTTCCTCCCGCAGCCTCTGGTGGAGACTCGGAGAATGCAGCGCCCGCCGGGCAGGAGCGCTGCGCAGCGCCGAGCCGAGCCGCAGGCGGCCGCCGGGCCGGACCCCGCAGCCAGCCTTGGAGCCCGGCCCCCCACTCCGACCGCGCCCCTCCCTCGCCCGTGGGGTCCGGAGGCTCGGTCTCCCCTGCTGCCGGCCGCGGGAAAGCCCCCGGGGGAGTGCTCCTCCTCCTCCCAGCCCAGATCCGCGCGGAGGGAGCGCCCCCAGGAGGGGAGCACGCTCCCTCCCTGCCTGGCGGCTCAGCTGCCCCGAGGCACCGGTGGCAGACTAGACCCTGTCCCCATTACTCCCTTGGCCAGAGACTTAGCTGCATCTAACCTACACACACACACACACACACACACACACACACACACACACACACACACACACTGAAAGCCTGGCTTCAAAAGAAGGGGGTGCAGGGGAAGGTAGGGGCGGGCCTCTCAAGTGGCCACCCCTGGCTGGCTGCCCAGAAAGGCCCTTTGCACAGACTGAGGCTTCAGAAACAATCACTGTGCATTGAGGTGGACAGAACCCCTGCTCTGGGGCTGGGAGTCTGCTGGCAGGTGGGAGGTCAGTTGTCCTGGGAAGAGCCATGCTGGACATCCCTCTTTAGGAGAAAGCCCTGGGAGTCCTGCCCCCAACCACCACCACCACCACCACCACCACCCCAAAAAGAGAGAGAGAATAGGCAACCAAGACAGTCCAGCCTAAACTTAGTGTCCTCTCTCCAGTCTAATAAAATCCTCCCACTGTCCAGAACCGCCTGGGAAATCGGCTTTTCCGTTCTTGCCCGAATTCAGCTAGCCCACTGCCCCGTGTCTTTTCTGCTTGGGCTGCTTTCTTTCTCTTGGCTGCACGGGTGCCAGTTGGTGGCTGAAGTCTATCCTGCAGCTGTATGTCTTTGCCACCCCGTCCCTAAGAGGCACCCTGGCCTGCAAAACAGACCCTCAAGTTTAAGTGGTGGCAGCACCCTCCAAGCCCCTGACTCCTGTGGGTCTCCAGGGAGCCACACATCAGCTCGCCCTGGCCTGCTCACCACCAGGCACTCTAATTTCTACCCCTAGCTCTCCTCCCTGGTGACCAGCTTCTCCTCTGGGTGGTGGCTGCATTTCTACTTCTTTCTGCTAAACTCCATCACTCTTATTTATTTTGAGATTTATTCTCTACCCCGACAGCCGGTTCCCCCCCTAAGTCCTTCTCTCGGCTCATTCCCTTCATTGATCTCCCAAGCCTCGCTTTTGTGGAGCCCCTTCTCCCGGTCCCTCTCCTCCCCCCTCTCTATTCTTAGCTCCTACTCTTTCATGCTTTCAGAGACCGGAGGCTGGCCCTTCCAGATGCATTTCTTCACTTTCGGCTTTCTCCCTCTCTCAGACTCACTGTTGCAGGTGTGGCTCCTCCTTTCTTGTCCCCCCAGGCCTGCGGGTGTGCTGACCTCTCAGGAGTCTGACCTAATTACATGCCACAGGTGATTTGGGCCTGGGCTGCTGAAGCTTCCCCCTTTGACTGCATGATGTGGGGCGCTCCACAAAGTCTCCTCTTCCCATAACTCTATTAAAACCTCACCTCTTACTCTTCCAACATGTAGACTCCCCATTTCAGGCTGCCTCCCTCCCTGACCTTTGACTCCTCCTTCCACAAACCTCCTCTGGGCACATTCCAGGCACTGTCCTGGACTCTGGGGACACAAGGGAGTCACCATCCTCACAACTGTCATGATTTGCTTTTACAACATCAGTCCTATTTCACAAATGAGGAAACTGAGGCAACACATTTCGGAATATCAGAAATAGAGAGGCAGCAAATGGTGAGAGCAGATTCATGCATTCTGTCTGGGTCCTCTACCCTTGTTCTCCAGTCTGGGGTGGATAAACCAAGACTCCTGCTGACTGCAGTATGTGCAAGTGCAGCAAGAGGCAGTGTGGTGTGATAGAAGAAGAACCGCCTCATGAGAACCTTGGGATGTAGGAGGCATGCCCAGCATTGAGGCCTGGATCAGATGATCATAACAATAGCGGTGAGCAGCCTTGTGCTGCAGGTTAATTTTCACATAGATTATTTCACTTGATTTACACAGCCATGGCACATTTACACACAGGGAAACTGGGGCAAAGAGAAGCCACGAAACTTGCTGAGAGTCACAGAGCTTGTGGAAAAGCTGGGCTTCGATCCTCCATGGGCCTCTGAGCTGAACTGGTATGGCATGTTGCTTCCAGGCTGGCAGTGGGCCTCGCGCATCTCGGGTGACCACAAACAGGTCGTGAAGGGCATGGAGGGATGCATTAGGGATTATTCTGGGAGGAGCTTGTGACAGTCCATCAGAAGAGTGGGCTTGATTCACGGACGGCGTTTGCAGCAGCCATTTGTGACCCTGGCCTTCGCCCTCTTTTGAACCCAGGTTTCCTCCACCTCCACCCCGTGACATTTGGGCCCATCCCCCTTTGTCACCGTGCCGTCCTGTGTCCTGTGCATGGCAGCCTGCCTAGCAGTGTCTCTAATATCTGCCCACTAAATCCTGTGGCACCGCCCCTTTCTCCTAGTTGTGACAACGATAAAACCATGTTCAGATGCTGCCAAATGTCTCCTGAAGGGCAAGGTCGGCCTTAGTTGACCATCAGGGCTCCAGTGTGAGGGTCTGCTCCAGGGTGCTGTGCCTTAGAGTGGGCGTCACAAAGTGGGTATGTATGTATGTGTTTATATGTGTGTATGTGCATGTGAACGTCCGTGTATGTATATATGAGTATGTGTTTATATGTGTGTATGTCTGTGTATGTCTATATGAACGTGTGTGTATATGTGTGTGTATGTATGTATATGTATGTGTGTGTGTGTGTGTGTGTGTGTGTGTGTGTGTGTGTGTGCACGCATGCTTTCAGGTCCATGCTCTTCCTCTCCCTGGTTCTTCCTCTCCCTTCTACAATTGCTCACACCACAGCCAGGCCCCACAGGGCTCACCTGCCTCTCTGTTCTCCCCACCCACAGCCCTGGAGTGGCTTTCTGTCCTGCCTGTGTCTGCCTGTTGCCTTGGCATATACATTCTCCTGCTCTGACGCCCTCCATCCTGGCTGTCTCTTCCCATCCAGCAGTGTTTCTCTGCTGCTTTCTGAATGTGTGTCCTCACTTGTCCTCTCTACCTGTCCCCACGTCCCCCCACCCTGTCTCCGTCTTTGGCTGTCTGCTTCTCCCTAGTGTTCTCTCTCTCTCTCTCTCTCTCTCTCTCTCTCTCTCACTTCTTCCTCCTTCTAGTCCTCTCTATCCTGTTCCTCTCTCTCTCTCTCTCTCTCTCTCTCTCTCTCTCTCTCTCTCTCTCTCTGTGTCTTTCTGTCTTTGTCACTCTGACACCCTGCTCTCAAGTCCCCATGGTCCCCCGCCCTCCCGTGTCACTGGACTCTCTGACCTCATCCTGGCCCCTTCCTATCTTCCCATCCTCCTCCTTCACTTCTCTCCTCCTCTCCCTTCCACGCTTCCTTCCCTCCTCCCCTCCCTCCTCCCTCCCTCCTGGACTCCCCGTTCACTTCTCCTCCCTCCCTCTCTGTCCCTGGGAGCTGGAAGTTAAAAGCTCTTCCGAACTTGCTCTGCAGTCGCTGTTCCCAGCTCCTTTCATCTCGCCAGCACATTTGTAAAACGGCGCAGACTGAAGGGCCGTGACATGAACAACCAAAGAAATGTCAACGCCAGGATGGGGCCCGCCAGCCCACAACGGGGGGCGGGGGAGCCATGGGGCACACCCCACTGACTCCTGGGAGGGATCCTTGACCCAGGTAGGGTGGAGGGCCCCCCACCATGGCTCTAGTGCCCTGTGCCTCCGGGCTCAGCACAGGGTGGGGCGAGGGGCAGGCAAGGTAGAGGAAGAAGAGGCCTTAGGGCTGCCAGCTGGACCGAGGCAAGGCTAGGCTGGCAGTTGGCATTTGGGAGCCCTGGGGAGCAGAGCTGGGTGGGTTTGTTGCCCCCAACACCTCTTGCTGTTCAAAGTCACCAACCCAAAGTCAGAGTGTCTGGGTTCAAATCCTACCTGTCACCCTGAGCAAGTGGCTTTAATCCTGTTCCTCAGAGGAAAAGCAGGGATGGCAGGGTTAGCAATGCCTATGTCAGAAGGCTGGGGGGAAGGTTAAGTGAAGGAACCCATGTAGGACACTTAGAGCAGGTGTTTGCTGTAACTAACAAGAACAATAGAAATGGATCTGCTGGATAGCATGCTGAGTCCCCTACTGCAGAAGGGGAAACCGAGGCTTAGAGAAGGCGATGACCTAAGAGAGGAACAGGGATTAAAGCCTGGCTCCCTCCTTTTCTTCCCTCCTGGGGTTTGTGGGCACAGGGTTGGGACTTGCACTCTACCTGGCCAAGTTATCTGTTTGGTTCCCTGCTATGTCCTGTGGAGGGGATCATAGGAGATGTTCAATAAACATTTGCGAATAGATGAATAAAAATGTTGGAACGCATCCAGGCTAGACAGTTGAAAGGCATTTTGTTTGCAAGTGTGTGAGGGGCAGGCGTGGGGAACAGTGGAACTTGAAAAAGAGCCTGGACCTTGCGCTGGGCCATTCTAGAGCAGGAGATTTTGCCTGAATCCATAACCTCCATCTGGCTTAAGAGCCGGCAGCACCCTGGACAGCAGACATGGTGACAGCCGGGAACCCACCTGCCTTGGAGCTGTCCAGAGATGGTTCCAGCCCATTTGGCAGTCTTGCAGCTTCAGCCTTAAGCTAGGCTCTGGCCTTCCGCGCACCCTCCCCACCATGCTTGCTATGTCCCTCTTCTCGCTCCCTCTGGTCCCAGATCCAAAGTCAGGAGTCCCACTGGGTAAGGAGCCCCCTCCTGCCTCCTCTCTTCACTGCCTTCAGCCCTGAGGCTGACACAGCAGGCGGCTGTGTGGAGATGAGAGGAAGGGTCCCCAAGGCCTTCCTGAACGTCCCTAAAGATCCAGCAGACTGGAACAGGGCCCGAGCACCTGGAGCGTCCCTCTTGACCCCCTCCTTGAAGGTTGAGACAGCCCTGACACCCACACTCCCCCAAAACACACACTTCAAACACTCCTCTCAACCTGAATTATTCACCTGCCTCTCCCCAGGGCTGCTGCAGAGCGCCCAGCCCAG